CTGTATGGGGAGATGAACAGAGTGACTTTGTGTGCAACACACAGCAACCTGGTTGCAGGAATGTGTGCTACGACCGTTTCTTCCCCATCTCCCATATCAGGCTGTGGGTTTTCCAGCTCCTCTTTGTGTCCATTCCATCATTTCTCATCGGCATGCATGTTCATCAAAGGAAGAAATGCAAGAAGAATATAAAAATCTTTAATCAGAATGCAGATTTGCAGAAAGTAAAAATCGATGCCCCTCTTTTACGAACTTACTTGGTCAGCATTTTGTTTAAAATGTTGTTTGAAGCCGTCTTTATGTTCTTGTTCTATTGGATTTATGAAGGCTACAAGATGCTCAGACTTGTCAAATGCAGTGAATATCCCTGTCCTAATACCGTGGATTGTTTCATTTCTAGACCAACTGAGAAAACGATTTTCACTCTCTTCATGTTAATGACTTCAGCTGTATGCATCTTGTTGAACGTTGCTGAACTATGTTACTTAATTGTCAGGTATTGTGTTATGCAATGGAAGAAAAACATTTTTGCTGCAACAAGAAGCAATGAAAACAAAAAATTAACAGTTGCTCTTAGTTCGTCGAATATCAGCACAACAAAATTTGACAATGACCAAAAGAGCAGTTCTGATATCACTTCTATATTTTAAAAAAGACAATGACTCCTGAATTATTTTAAGCTTCACAAAATGCTTGTAATTCTAGGCTCAATTATCTTGTGACTTTGAAACAACATTTTATCAAGAAGAGATGATGTATCAATTTATGTGCATTCCAAATATTTTGATATCCCATTATTCTGTTTGTCATTGTTATATGTTGCTTCCATTTTAATTTACTCATTCCTGGGTTCCTTATGAACACATGATCACTTTTGTTGAAGCCGATTGCAAACCTCTGGGAATAAAGCCTCAATAAAATTGAACAAAGAAGGTGACGCATAAAGTGACATAAAGTGACGCATTCTTAGAAGGAAAGAATCTGACATACATTAGAAGCATTATCACAGTAAGCTATAAACTGTTTTGAATAGAAGCTGAATACCAAAACATCAGAGAATTGGATTAAGTGCAATATTTTGTTCAAAACACGATAATTGTACCTAAAATACCTGAGAAGCTAAGTGCTGGTGAATGCGTCTGTAAATGGGCAAAAGTTAAGGTACAAAGGAATGGACCCTGTCCTGACCTATGCTTGCCAAGAGGCCCATGACTTCAATACGCCACTATCTCCTAAAATAGAACAGAAGACTGTGGATTCTGCAGATCTGAAACAAAAACAGAAATTGCTAGAGAAATTCAGCAGGCCTGGCAGCATCTGTGGATAGAAAGCAGAGTTAACATTTCGAGTCTCCAGACTAAAAACATTAACTTTGCTTTCCTCCCACAGCTGCTATCAGACCTACTGAGTTTCTCCAACAATTTCTGTTTTTATTGCACCCGTATCTCCAGTTTGCGTGATTTCCTGATGCCACTTCACGTAAAGCTGTCGGAGGTTAAAACCGATAGTTTTCACAGCAGATTGTGGGAATCTGGCCATTGAGAGATATGTTGTCATACTGTGTATGTTCATCAGTGTTGACTGATTGTGGAAAAGTGAACAATAAATGAAAGTTCCATCTTTGACATGGCAGGTTATGAAATGACGAATTCTACTTTCAGCCAAGCTTTGTTATTTCTACTGACTCAATGCAAAACTGTTCAGAAACTGAAACGTTGTCAGTCTCAACGGTTAAATATTCTCTTTGTCATTGTTTGAATGTAAACTGTCAACTGTTATTTTTTGAGGATGTCTAAAGAAATCTTAGAGCCATATTTAAGAATAGATTTTCAGGTCCAGTGTCCTTTCTTTCTTGTTCCTGGATAATCGATCCAGAATGTCTTCTCTCCATGTAGACCATTCAGGTAGTGCAATTGCCTGGATATAGAGCTGAGAAACTGAATGGCTAACTCCTGGCTTAAGATATAACTGAAATTTGCAATTCATTTGTTACGTTTGTCAGGATTATGGTAGCACAGTGACTGTTTTGGAATGTAAAAATATACCTCGTGATATAAACATGATTATATATTACAATAAATTACATATGTTTGAACTAAGCTGTGCCTTGAGTTAAACTTGAACTTGAAAATGAAGGCACCGATTTCAATGCACTCCCCTCAAGTGTGTTTGGAGGTGAGTAACACACAAATGGCCTTGAAGCTTTTAGGTGACATCTGTACTTCCTTCCTGCCACTTCCCTGATTACATCTGGGCTCACAAGGCTCGAGTTAAATCCCACTGTTAAATTGAGGCCCTTAAGTGGCCTCATCCCATGAGCAGCAAACAGGGAGTACATGGGTTGTACACGGAGTCCAAGAAGAAAAAATCCAGTCTGGTTTGTTTACTGGCTCCTGGGGAGGGGTTTCTCATCCAAAGGGACTCTCTACCTGATTGGATGCCTTGGCATTGGGCTAGGCACCACATCACCACCGAGCTCCTTCAGCAACCCCCAATCCCATCCTCAACCACATATGTGCCTGGGCCCTTGGCTTCCCCTAGGTGCAATACCAGCTACTGCCACCCATCCTGATGGCACTGTCTGCACTAGTCAACTGCTGGACTCTAATTGGCTTGTGGGTGTTTTTCGATGGTGTTTCATGTCCTGCAGTTCAGAGAAGGTGCACTGCTGACCACTTGTGTCAGTTCGTCATTTTATTCTGGTGAACTTTCCCCAAAGGGATGACTCGGGAAGGGGTGGGCTCTTCTGACAGGCAAGACCCCATTGTCTTAATCAAATATCACCCAAGGAGTCAGGGGAACACTGAGAACAAGTATGAACTGGGAAAAACGTTACAGGATAACCATAACACAAGTAAAACAAGATGGCAGCAGAGCAGGAAGCTCCAGGCAGAGCTCCTCTGTTCTGCCTGTTCTTTTGCTTTTTCTTTTTTTTCTCTTTTCTTGAGGTTTTTCAAAAAAAACTTTTAACTTTTTAAACTTACTCAGAGGGGTATTGAGGAGGTGAGTCCCAGACTGGAGGCTGGCGTTGGGGGGGAAGTGGGTCCCAGAC